GATTCGAACCCGCCACCTTAGGTGTATGTGGGTGGCGCCTTAGCTGCTTGAGCCACAGGCGCCGAGCCCTAAATGCTTTTCTTTATCAGCTCAACTGTCACAACTCCCTTATGAGGTAGATATTCCTTATCATCCTTATTCTATAGATGAAAAAATTTAGGTAGAGAAAGCTGGATTCATATCCAGGCAGTTCCATTTTGTCTACACCATGTAGCCTCTGCTCTGGGTATCTGCAGAAAATTGTTATGGTAGTAGCCACAATTGAAACATTAGATGTAGAGGGTTTGATGTGAATAAACATGTTCTGTGCTTCTATGATTTAATATTCTCACCAGAAACTCCCCTGGTAAAAAAGAAATCAAAGATTCAAATAAGTCATTAATAAATTCCAATTTTTTTCTAACATTTCCTAATTGTTGATCTGCTATCTCTGTTGCTTTTAAATCTCTTGAGAGTCTAATACTAGTTCAGTCTATTTTGGGGGCATTTGGCTGTACCTCCAAGAGGAAATCATGAAGGTGTTTGCAGAAATAGGGTTTGAAGAAATCTGGTTATCATCCTCAGCCCCTGAAAAGGGCAGTTAGCTATCCAAGAAATAAATGGTAGAGAAAAGGCTCCATGAAAAGGCTCCATGCAAGGAGCCTCCCCTCCTGAGACCTTAGCCACCACTTGAGGGCACTAGAGGCCCAGCGAGTGAAGCAACCCCTTCTTAGGCCCCACCATTGCCTGTGTGCTCTCAAAGGCACACAAGATCCTCCTCTAGAGGAGGGAGGGCCCCAAGAGCTAGCATTGTCTTTTTATTTGTACCTTGATTAAGTTTTTTTTGGTTTTCTTTTTTTTTTGTAGTTTTTGGTCGGGGCCAGGTTTGAACCCAGCACCTCCGGTATATGGGGTCAGTGCCCTACTCCTTTGAGCCACATGCGCCGCTCTGTACCTTGATTAAATACGAAGTCTGAAGTTAGATTCTCCAAAAGTTCACTATCTTGGGCTGTTTTCAAAACATGTCCATTTGTAATGGTCAAATTAAAAGAGCTGAATTAGGCATGCAGAGCTGTCCAGATGTCAGAGAGTCCTGGGATGGACCATAGATTCTGTACAACCTCCATTACTCTAACCTCTCCTGCCTCCAGCACACATGCCCACTCCTAAATGGAGATAAAGAAGTTCTGAGAAACTATGGCTATGTTGGTCCAAAAAGATTTTTTTTTTTTTGACAGAGCCTCAAGCTATCCCCCTGGGTGGAGTGCTGTGGCATCATAGCTCACAGCAACCTCAAACTCCTGGGCTTAAGTGATTCTCTTGCCTCTGCCTCCCAAATAGCTGGGACTACAGGCACCCGCAACGCCAGGCTATTTTTGGTTGCAGTTGTCATTGTTGTTTGGCAGGCTCAGTTGGTTGAACTTGCCAGCTCTGGTGTATGTGGCTGGCGCCTTAGCCACTTGAGCCACATGCGCTGAGCTGGTCCAAAGAGATTTTTTTTTTTTTTTTTTTTGGGGACAGAGCCTCAAGGTGTC